GAAGATGGGCCGGAACACCCCTGTCAAGGGACTGCGGGGAACGGGCATGGAGGAGTCATGAAGATACTGCTGGAAAGGAATGATGTTGATCCCGACGCAGTTGATAGATATGGCAGAACACCGCTCTAGTGGGCCTCTACCAATGGGCATGAGGAAGTCGTGAGGATACTACTAGGGCAGAGCAACGTCAATCCCCAGTGGGCCGGCGATGATGGCCAAACACCGCTGTCAGAGGCCGCGCGGTGGGGGCATGAAGGAGTCGTGAAGATGCTTCTGGAACGGAATGATGTTGATCCCGATGCAGCTGATATATGGGGCAGAACACCGCTCCAGCGGGCCGCTCGGGGTGGGTATGAAGGGGTGGTGAGGGTACTGCTGGGGCAGAGCAAGGTTACTCCCCAGCGCGTGGACGAAGATGGCACAACACCGCTGTCAGTGGCCGCTATGAGAGGGCACGTAGAAGTGGTGGAGATACTGCTGGACCGGAATGATGTCGATCCCAACACAGTTGATAAATATTGCGGAACGCCGCTCTTGTGGGCCGCTAGGGAGGGGTGTGCTGGAGTGGTGAGGACACTCCTAGGGAAAAGCAGGGTCAATCCCCAGGGTGCCGACGATAGTGGTAGAACACCGCTGTCATGGGCAGCGGCGGGTGGGCATGAAGGAGTCGTGAGGATGCTACTGGAATGGAATGATGTCGATCCTGACCTAGCGGACCAAGTTGGCCGAACACCACTCTCGGTTGCTGCGGAGATTGGACATGTAGGAGTCGTGGGGATTCTACTGGGACAAGACGAGGTCAATCCTAATACAGCTGACAAACGAGGCCGGACACCACTATGGTGGGCAGCGCGATATGGACGTAAGGAAGTTGTGAGGGTCCTACTAGAACGGAACCACCTCCATCAAGCCATATTTCGTCCCATATGTGATGAAGATGGCCAAAGCCCACTCTCCATAGCTGTGCAGTTTGGACATGAGGAGACCGTGGAGATACTGCTGGAACGGGACAGCCTCTCTTATTATATAGCAGACAAACAAGGCCGGACGCCGCTCTCGTGGGCTGTGGCGCTTGGGCATTGGAAACTTGTTTTTCTGTTGGAGCGCAATAGACGTTACTACGAAAAATCACATTCGGCCCGAATTCACTCGATGTATACCTGAGAGATGGTATTCTCTCTGATAATTGCTAGAGTATGATACAGGAGTTAGTTTAGGGCATGGCAGGCATAGGGGTTGTGTGGGGTTCAATAGCCTCTTCTCATTTTGAGGGTTTTCTGTGTTGGGTGTACGAAGTGCGCTCTCTACATGTATGTAGCCTCCAGCCACTGTGAAGAAAACACCACATTATTGTCGTTGAGCATGGCCCTACTCCAAACCATCAGTAAAGCGCTTTTTGTCCCTAGCTAGACATGAGTCTCCTGCACTGACCCGGTTAGGATCGAGTTATGAACGAATTTCCATCAAAGTAATACAAGCAGATCAGTGTTTATTAGGGGGGAGGCGCAGGGTGGGCTTTAGCTCTGCAGTCCTGCCATTACTCCTGGCCAGTGAGGTTATTATGTTACTTCTCTCCACCATCACTCAGAGCCGGAAAGAGTATTTTTTTCAATCTCCCACGCTTTCCTCCTAGTGTTTGATAAAATACCTATTGTATGTTTTTAGACCAGATATTCGATGTATTGTAAGTTACCAACAATGCCAAACATACAAGCATGTGATGAGGTTAGGATTAGGAGGTGTAAAAAAGTAGAAAATGCGAAGTAAAACGCCACGAGGTACCTATTACGATGGCCAGTCCGCCTTCTTCCAATTGCTCCGGGTGCGATGACTACTTTGGTGCCACTCAACAATAAACAACCACCAAAGCGACCATGAATTCGTAATAGGGAGTGGTAGGAATAGGTACTATGGCAACTGGCAGTGGGAATGGAAATAAGTGTTGAGGCGTTTGAATGAGTACACAACGAGTGAGAGAGCTGGCATGGAAGGCCGTATGTAGAGAGGGAGTGAAAGGGCAGGGAAAGGGAAAAGGAGGCAGTGACAGATGGGAAAGGGAAGAACATTAGTAGACTGTAAACCTAAGTGTCTAGTCCGTCCGTCTTCGGTTCTGGACGGGACGGAAGGTAGTATCATAATATACTGTTAAAACATCATAATTATTATTTCCCTCCTGATTTTAGGGTTTGGGCCCAATCAGCAAATTACAAGTTTTTTTCCTTTTTACCTTATAAAAGGCAGTTTGGAAACCCTTATAAACTACGGCGTGCCAAACACCCCCTTATATTGTGGATGTCCCCTTCGGGATGTTTTCTAGTGGTGATTGTTTTTACTTCCTTTATCTACTAGGACGCAAACTAAAGATTCGGATGGAGTGACATTGATATCTATGTTACGACCATGCATTTCGTTTGTCACACCGTCCCGATCATTAATTTGCCCCCGAGTACTGACAGTTTATGTTCCATAAATCTGACTTGATGAGGATTGGACTCGTGATTTCTTGAGGACTTGTCATGATAAAATAGTGTAGCACTCCGAGATGGAAAGTTTTTCTCCCTCTGGGTGAGTATCCATTGATTGACGATGATTTAGGGATGAATCTACTATCGGCTTTAGCTATACACCCTATCTATCAATAAATATATCATGCCCGCCGTGGTATTCATGATATGACACCGCACCCACGTCTCACACTCTCAAACCCCCCTCTCAGCATAGCTCTTCATCCCTTCCACCAAATCCTCATACTCCCTTAACTCGACGCTACCCACGCTAGACAATACAGTATTTGCCTGTACAAAAACTGTCCTCGGCTGCTTCAACCTCATGACTACCTCCCTGTAACCCTCAAACTGATTGGTAACCTTGGTCGTGCGATTATACAGCTCACTGCCAGCACGGACGTCGGAAATGCTCTTGTAAATGTGCAGCTTCGTCAAGTACTCCACGACAGCCTTCCGTCCGTGGATCAAAGTCTTTCTCCTATCGATCAAGATAGTGAGATCAGAGATGTCCGGCAGAGAACTCGAAAAGGTGGTAAAGCCATCCTCTGCGGAAATTAACACCAGTAGGATGAAATAGCGGGCTTGAGAATGTGCCAGTTCCCACTTCCGACTCTTGGAGTCCCAGCTTCGACGGAGAACAGGCCTGCGTGCACCATTTGCAGACACTCAATGTACAGCACATCTTCCACCTCCTAGTCACTTGTATGGCCGAAGATGGATAGTAGGTCCCTTTCCCTGCCGAGGCACATTGCTACCAACTCTGCGCGGCATTCCTTGTAGGAGGCCGCGAGATGGCCAAATACGCTGCTCAATGTCTCGTTCGGCTTGTACCACGTCCTCACCGGCTAATTTGTGATCGGGTTGATGGGCAGGTAGGTGTGATTGAAGTTGTAATCCCCCGGGGATGTTTCCTGCGGGGGCTTGTGGTCCGGTAGCTCATGGATACCAACTCGGACTTCGAAGGCAGGCCTCCGGAGCCCTGAGCAGAGGGTTACATTCTCGGGTTTTAGGAAGGTAATTGTTTCGTTAGGGAATCGTGCGCAGTGGATGTTGCCAAGTAAGATGTTTCCGAAGCCAATTTCCTAGTGGATGTCATCGCAGTTTGGAATGTTGATGCCCGTATATCAGAATAGTTAGTTTGGATTGTCAGAGGTGGTCGAGTGGAAGGTACGAACCAGCTGGAATCCCCGTCCCAGCAAATGTTACAACTTCTAGACTTGTGAAATCAGGCTTCAAAAAGTGGTTCATTTCAAAATCCTTTCCCTAGGGTAACCACGCGATAAAGTCCTCTGCACGCCCGACTAGCTCTGCGTAGGTTCTCGCCCGCTCTTCGTTCACCATTTCCGCAAAGCCTTCCCAATCTGCAGGAACACCAGCCGGATCACGATATGTCTCGATAAAGCCTATATTAGCTTCTACCCGGGGACCCTTATCCTGTACCCAGTACTTCTGAGACTGCTTGTGCCTTTGAATAGACCCGATATCAAACGACTGGGCATACTCCTCCCACATCTTCCTCTGAATCTCATTCGCCGAGTGCTCCACCGCAACCCGACACTCCACAGAGATCTTCTTTACTAATTCCGCATAATTCCCGTACACCAATTTCTACTCCTTCTGTCTACCTTCACTAAATGAAAACTCGGTTTTCTGCCCCTCCAGTGCCGTCATTACCCCATCTTCCTCGGCTCCAATTTAGCGGCCTCCCACCCTCCTCGTCAAAGCCCTACTTCTCCTAGGTTCCTTCATAAACGACCACCGTCTCTTCAACACCTACAACTGGGAATACAGGAGCCCATCCAACTTTCTTTTTACTATCATAGCCCCTTCTGTGTCACTGGGGAATCCAAATCCTGCCGCGGTCAAGGCACGCTTCCCTCAGTGAGACCCGATAGGGCCAACCGCCATTCTGCCGTGTCGGGTGCGACGTACCAATCTAATCGCTTGGGCACGCCGATGAGGTTCTGCACACAGGCAATTTCGACTATATTCACCGAGGTGAAGCCAAGGATTACCGCACAGAGCAGGGCCCCGTGTCAGCGGCGGCATAGTTGAGGCCTTTGGCGTGGGATCGTTTTAGGCTTAATCTCCCACGTCGATGATTGTTGAGGACGCGTGAGGTCAGGTGGCAGACAAGATGTGCGGTACGAGGTTTTCAGTGTAATGGGAGCCGTTAGCATTGAAGAAGCCAGGTCATTATTAGTTGGGGATTATGAGGACAGGAGGGTAGAGGAAGATATTACCTTCGGAGAAGCGGTAAATGAAGATTCTTAGATATGGGCTTAGGACCCTAAGCTTGGGCTTGAGCTATCTCCTAGATCTAGTAGTAAGCAAGCGTTTCTACCAGAGTTGCCCTCAGGACTGCGGGCCGGAGTCTGGTTCGCAGCGCCGCCATTCATTAGTTCTCCTCGTCAATACTACCGCCACTGATCTCACAATAGACTTCCTAATGGAGGTCCCACGAAAGTGTGGGCAACTAGGTAAAGGAGGCATCCCCGACATCGAAGGAGCGGCAAAGGTTGTCATAATGGATTGGAGGGATGGAAGGAGTCAAGGTTGGATTGATCCCCACAACTACCAAGGTGTTAAGCCAGCCACCGCTGCCATAATGATTGATGATCGAAAAGAGATTGTTAAAGAGTCGACTGAAGAGTTTAAATTGGATGGGCTATGGGGTGAGGATTGGAATGCTGGCGGACAGGGCGAGTAGATGGAGATCGAGGATTGATGATCCTGTGGCATCTTTTATTTTCTTTATATAAAAGCTTATATAGTGCTTGCTTCGATTTTTTTTTGTAGTGGTCCGCCACAGTGCCCTAGCTTTTCAGTAGATATGGACTATGAATGTATAGTTCCGGCAGCCCATCCGTATAATATCTTTCACACACAAAACCCTAGTCTCGGTAGCCACCACAGACCGGCGGGGGGGAAATCATAATCACTATTGTACTCGAGTACAGTAGTGCTAGCTGAGCAAAAGCCCGTATGGGCACCCACCAGCGATACCCATGTAAAACCTGGAGGTGTACTGTGCCTCCCACCACCCCCATCCGTGATGAAAATAGCTTATCACACTCAAAATTTTATAAGCAAAATAAAAGGTATAACCTCACCTTTACATCTTCTCCCACCCTGCTCCTCCTTCCTTTTCTCTGCCCCTCTACGAATCATGAAAATTTGCGACCTGACACTCTTGGCGAACCTGCGCTACCGCCTTGTCGCCGAGACCGGCAGGTATACCATCGAACGGCTCAAGCGGTTGAATATCCGCCTCCTCAAATACCTCACCGATCGCGCGGGTGATCCCATTGCGATTCCAGCAAGCAGGGATTTCCCACACACCGCTCTGGCAAGCACTAGCGACGTTAGGGAGGGCAGAGGTATTGGAGGCAGAGGTTTTGGGCCTGCCTAGCTGGGTTGGGCTGGATTAGAATTCGATTAGATATTGATGAAAGGGGGGGAGAACGGTCCCGGCTTTTTTTCTTCTCTTTTTTTCTTTCTCTTCGTTCAAGGTTTGTTCCGTCCTCGTTTCCGCTTTAGATGCCGGGGGATCTTATGTTTTCCTATTTACCCATGCAAGCAATTACCAATTGCTAGCCAAACATGAGAAAGGGAGTGGTAATAGAGTCAAATATCCGGTGAAGAAGCAGAAGGAAAGGGGGAATGGGGCAGCTAGGAGAGAAATTTAGGAAAGGAAGAAGCTAGGGAAACGGGCGGGAGGTCTGATGAGAAATTGACAAGCTGTGGGTGGGGCGGGGACGTCGTGGGATTCGGTCGGTGGTATTGATAATTAATGTAATAATTATCATAGCTTGAATAACCGTTACCTCATTAACCTCATCACAGCTGCTCACTCGTCTAACAAAACTCAGAGTTCACTTCCTCACATCCCAACTAATCCTCCGAGCCGATCACCCGCCACTGTATTACTGAGTCCAACCAACAAACGTTAATCCTTTCCCCTGCACGCGACAGTTACGGGTACTCGAGTACTTCGCACTGGCACCCTGCCCACACACGTGACTCACACGTCGACCCGGAGACAAAAGTGCAACTAAACCACTGAATCATAGCCCCGCGCAAGAGAACCGGGGCTTTATACATATATCCACCATGTCCGCGCCTTGACGGAAAGGAGAAGCCTTCGGTAGCCATCAGGGATGGAAACCGTCGACTGTGGGGCACTTTCCACAGGGCGCGCTATGCGGGTCATTATCGCTGGAGTATTTTGGTTAGCTAGTTCGGCCGCATAGGACGAGGGGGGGTCAAGTTTCGCTGTAAAAAGGGAGTACCGTAAAAACTCTTGAAATCTGCCATCTCAGGCCTGTGACGAATATCCCTGTGAATGGCGACATTAGGTTAGATAGGTTTAGCTTAGCAAGTTAACCAAATTGCGAGAGTAGGTTATTGAGATTCAACACAGCCAAGTGGCTTGCGTTATACTGTATTAGGAGATAGCTAATCCTTCTTAAGAGTCTTTGACTCAGAAGCCGGAGATCACAGGGATGACAGAGATGGCGGATTTCAAGCGTTTTTACGGTATAGTAGCCTTATTACTCATATGCGCGCTCGAGTGATGATTTGGGAGATAAGGTGGGGTGTGGGGTATATTAAGGCACTGTTTCCGCTCTTTTTTAAAGTTTTCTTGTCCGAGCATACCGGTGCGGTACTTTTTTCGTTTATTTTTTATTTTCTATTTATGCACTAGCCTAACAATTGGAGTATATTATGCGAGTGGGTCACTCTGAGTGGTATCGGGGCGCGCAAACAGAAGATATAAAAGAAAGCGAAACGCTACTACCGCGCAGTTGTTGCCGTCGTAGGGCGGGAGGGAACAGGCGATAGAGAGGGGCAGGAGGGCGCATTGGAGTCGCAATTGGGAGGCAGGCGGTTCGGGGAGGACGGTAGTTATAGCTGGGATAGTTGTTGGGATGAGTGAGGGCGAGGAGGAGGGGGCGGAGGACGAGTATGAGGGGCACGAGGGGGAAGGGACGCCGACGGTTGCGTCACTGGTTAATGAGCGCTCTGAGAGCAGGGCTCAGGCACTGGTGCCGGCTCCGATGCAGCCGGGAGAGGAGGAGTTGAGAGGTTTCCGGAGGCTAGGGTTGGGTAGGGAGACAATTGGTATCCCCAGCCTGGATAGTCTCCTCTAGACAAAGCTGGATTTTGGTATACTCTTTCGAATATCACCCATTCTTCGAGTAAGGCTAAATGTTTGAGTTTTAGATGAGCCCAAAAACTCTCTTCGACAGTCTGAAGCTATCCCCATGGCTTCCTCCTCCTCTTCAGCTTTGGGGGTCAGTGAGAGCTCTATCTTCGGGAGCATGCAAGGATCGAAAGCGACCTTTGGAAGTTATTTGAAGTACGTCGGGAGCCATCAGAAGAGCTACTGTTTCGGAACGCTCCTTTTCGGATATCTGAGCTTGGTTATGCTATGCTGCGAAATAGATTCCCGAGGGCAGAAATAACGACGAGGCTGTCTTTGGCGCAGGTGAGGTGTGCTTACGAGGGATATAACACTTCTCAGTATGCGACTGTAGACTTCCTGGGACTCCTGAGCCGATAACCTCGGTTCTCTCCAGGGCTAGAACAGATAGGGTCTTCCCGAACAACTACAATCCCTGTCACTCGTTCGCCATTCTCATAATCGATTTCTTGAACTTAAACACCGCCGCTGATATCCTGCACACATCCGAAGAATCCGTCCTTTCCTTTCGCCCTCCTTTACTCTGCCATATATCATGACTCTGCAAAGTGAATCAACCGCTATCCAGCCACCAAATTGTGCAGGAGCAAAATCACGGGTGAAAATACCGATTTCACCTGGGCGAGAGGCTATTGGCCATTCTTTCGGTGGTGTGCCATCATCCCACACCTGCAATTTAGAATCAAGCTCGCTAAAAGGAATTAGGCCGGGAAGCTCAGTTTCGTAGATTCTACCATTATCAATAAGTAGAACGAGTCCCAACTTTACGAACTTTTGATCCCTTTCGGTGAATAAACAGTGCAAGCCTATGGTATCTCCAGTTGTTTGCGAAAAATCGTTTGGGGTGGGCCACCAATATTAGCTGCTGGAGCAAAAACCTTGTGGGTTCCGAGATAAAGTACGGGTACAAATCTTTTCGTCCGGCACGGCAATGGCAACCCCACCACCACAACAAATTTACTACATATGCAACCACAACTGCTTAGAATAAACTGAAAATTTGGATATATATCCAGTACATATAAGAAAGCCTTCATATGAAATTATAGAGAGAAAAAATCAATACTTTGTATACCACCCCTTTGCATCTAAAACAGCAGCCACCCTCCTAGGCATAGACTCCCACAAGCATTCCAAAAATTCACCTTCAATATCCTGAGCCCAAACCTGATTTAGAGCTTCTGCTAGACATTTTCTAATAGTATCAGGACCCCCCTTAGTCTTGTGAATGTTAGAAAAGTGCTGATGCAGCTTTTCCTTGACCCTCTTCCAACAGTGCGTAATAGGATTGAGGTCTGGGGAATTGGGAGGCCATTCCATAACCTGTATGTTGTTTTCTGCAAACCAAGCCATGGTATCTCTTGTAGTATGTATCTTTGCACCATCCTACTAAAAGACAGGATCTCCAACTGTGTCCTCTACCTGCTGCCAGACATCAACTAAGCCATCTTCTAATACTCCAATATATACAAATCCATCTACACTCCTGTCACAAATAGGAATCAGGGGACCCTTATTTTTACCTAAGATGTAAGCCCAAATCATCAGCTTTACTCCTGGCCCCTTTATGACCTCTTGAATACAATCCTTATACCACTTTTCCTCTGGTGTTCTGAATACCCAAATACCCTTAGAATCTTTAGACTTTTCAACCATGCATTCATCATTAAAGATAACATCTTCAAACTCCTTCTTTATCCAATACTTATGCTCCTTCACCCAAGCTAATCTCTTGATAGCATGTTTATTCTTTAACAATACTCTTTTCCTAGCCCTCCACTTCCTTATATTGACAGAGGCTAAAGCTCTCTTGATTGTTTTCACAGAGGCTTGAGCACAATCTCATTGCACAATTCTGATGAAGGCTGGTGGCATGCCTTCTTAGCCTGTCTGACTAGGTGGCAGCAGGTTCTGGTATTAATAATTTTGTGTCTGCCAGGCATAGGAAGGTTTTTCTCATCACTCCTCTTTTGATACAAGCTATAGAAACTGAGGACTGTACTTTTGGGATGATTTAAGAGATTCCTAATCTCAGAAAAAGAGAAACTTTTTTTTCTCAAGGCAACAATTTGCCCTTTCTCAAACTCTGTAGGGTGGCCAGTCTTTTCCTGAGGCATAGTTGTTGAGGAGTGGTTGATTGTTGAGGTGGGGTTTTTTGTGGGGTTGCTCGGTAACCACCGATCGGACGAAAAGATTTGTCCTAGTACTTTAGCTTGGTCCAAAAACCTCACTTGTATGTCTACCCCCTGTGAGAAACTAGAGAGTCAACATGGAATACTAGATGAGCCGGAAGTTAACCTACCAGAACGCCATGAACACATGCACCACTACAACAAATGAGCTCGGTAGCCACTAAGTCCCCCTCTTCGAAACAAATGCTGTTCCGGTCTTTAGCTAGCTTTGGCCTGAAGAGAGACACGACTCGACTGTCGCTGCTACACTCTCTGTAAAGGAATTCCAACCCTCTGAGCACGGTATCATCATAATAGTTCTATCATTCCCACTCAGCTCCTCTGCCCCCTCCTCATAAAATCCATTTGCCCAGATTTCCCACTCTCCCTTACACATTCGCCAATCTGGGATGTGAGGTCCTTTGTGCTCGAGTAATTTTAGCATCTGGTGGTGGAAGCCTCTTCCAGACTGATGCCTCCGCGTGAGAGAGAAATCGACCGTATAAGGGGGGGCAGTGAGCGGCCCAATGGCATCTCCACCCTCCAGCTCGGGGGTCTCTTCTAAAATACCAGGCGTTTCACCCGAGTTAACAAAGCCAATCACACCAACAAGATTCCGATACCAAGAGGAAGCAGTGATCTTTCGGGCAACCCCATTCCAGAGTCCGACCTTCCGCCAAAAAAAAGTATCGTTATTGAAAACCAACTGTACTTCCACAAACAATGTGGTTATGCAAACAAAAAGCAAAACCTTGTCAGAGTCTTCGAACGGACGTCGACATCCACATAAATACAAGTACGATACTACCAATCGGACAACGTTAACCTTGAACTAAGGCTAAGGATATGATATTATCCGGCTAGGCTTGGGTTGAGGTTAGTGTGGATTTTCTTGAAGCTGCCCACCCACGGCCACCGATATGCCTACAGCTGTGGCGAATGGGGGTTCTTTACGCCCTGCTGTTGGCTCAGTTACCTCCGAATTTTGCCCGATAATACTCGAGTACAGTAGACTGCTGTCTCACTTACCCAATTTGAGCGCTAACTGAGAGTGGATAACGGACCGCCGGATGAGTATCATATCCCGGATTCACGTGGCGCTTACCTGATCTTGGGGCTAACCCATAGCGGATTAAGGACGCTGTGGGTGAGTAGTCCAGTATTGATACCCCAACCTTGGTTACAAGATAGATGGCACATTTCGGATACTCTGCTGGACAGCCAAGTCTATATAAAATGAGTTTGGCCTAGCCTTGGAAATCAATCCTTTGAAGTAAATTACTAGCAAATCCTGGACGAGCGCTGTCCCATCATCAACGCTAAAAAAAAAAAATTAGATCCCATTTCACCACATAATCAACTTCTCAATGACAAAAACTAAACCCTCTTATATCACCCATCTTGAAAATCCACCGAACCCCAAGAATTAAACAATTCAAGTTGTGCCTTGCCCACGGGAAACAAATCCCAACGATGCTGTGAAAAGGGAGGGGGGGGGGATGACTAACCCACGCCCTTCTAAACCCTCTCGCATTATGTAAATGCAAGCATCTCATGGAGGCTTTTTTTTCTTTCAATCCTCACGATCAAAGACAGAAGGCCTGGAGAGGAGAGGAAGAAGAAGGAATACATTAGCGCTCTACGCACGGAAATGCATTGATATCCCGGGCTAGGCGAGCTTTCTGGATATCGTTGACCCAACCCGGTTGGTTGTGATGGAGCTCGTTATAGGGGAACCTCTGTGAATTTACAATTTACTGCAACCACCCTCGCTCTCGAATAAACGGACCTCGTAATGGAATTTCTTCCAGAACCTTACCATGATGAACGAAGAAACCCCAGACCCTTAGTGTTCCTTATACAATAGTATGTGAGCTGCGACTGTACTCGAGTACGATACGAGTATTATAAGCCCATCCTAGCTGGGCCGAACCGGCGTCCGCTAATAATTGTGGTCTAGCCATACTGATACAATTAACTTCAATTAAACAGATATACTTAATACAGTCGAAGCATTACCGTAGGTATAATCTGGCAAAAGTCTGATTGACGCTATTAATATCAAATTTCGTACTAAGTACAGGAAGGAAGCATTCCTGCCAGTTCTCCAAGTTGTCAGGCAACCCCCGCTAGGTGCTATGATAAAAGAACGCAAAGCACTAGAAGCGAAGGCTATTTCCGGCATTCCTGGCAATTTTTAGCAGATGGGATCTCGCAGATGACATCTCAACCTGGAGATGTCCTGTGCGTCACTCCCATCCCTGGGTCTCCGCGATCATGAATTATTCCTCTAGGACCACCTCTGGAAAACGCACGAGCGATGAAACGGCAGGATTGAACTCACACCCATTTTCCACCCTTATAGTACTTGTCCCAGTCAAGAACTATCTGCAAACAGGGGGGATCTTATTCTGAATGAGCGCTCAGATGCTGATAGATGTTTTGAAATATTTTTTACAATCCCTGTTTGCGGGTACTTGTTGCCTGGGACAAGTCACAGCAACAGGATACCCCGCCCCATCGATCATGAAATATCTACCGGTGAGTTTCAACTCCCAGCCACTCAAATGTTCTTTTCCCTCTCTTACTACTTTCCATAACATGGCTAATGAACCGAAAAAGCGGTAATCCCCACCAGTTGCTCCGACACGGCCCTTCCTGCCCCGCATTCCCAACCTCCCTTCTAACCTCACCTTTACAACTTCTCCCACCCTGCTCCTCCTTTCCTTGCTCTGCCCCTTCTGCGAATTATGAAAATTTGCGACCTGACACTCTTGGCGAACCTGAGCTACGGCCTTGTCGCCGAGACGGGCGGGTATACTATCGAACAGCTCGAGCAGGTGAATATCCGCCTTCTCAAATACCTCACCGATCTCGCGGATGATCCCATTGCGATTCCAGCGAGCACAGATTTCCCACCCACCGCTCATGCAAGCACTAGCGACGTTAGGGAGGGCAGAGGTTTTGGAGGCAGAGGTTTTGGGCCTGCCTAGCTGGGTTGGGCTGGATTAGAATTCGATTAGATATTGATGAAAGGGGGGGGGAGAAGGGTCCCGGCTTTTTTCTTCCCCCCCTTCTTTCTCTTCGTTCAAGGGTTGTTTCGTCCTGGTTTCCCCTTTGGATGCCGGGGGATCGCTGCTACGAGGCCGGGTAGACATCTTCAGGCTGATTGGATCCAGCATTTCCTCCTATGGGTTGTTTGTCCGAGTGTCCTGCTTTGGCCCGGGCAGCCGCATAGGCCGGCCTATCAGTGGCCCGGCAGATTGGGAACATCGTAGAACCACGAATGACAATAAATGAATCTTAGACAGCAGCAGCGCACTCCCCTGCCCCTCACCCAGCAAGACAAGGCAAAACATCTTTGCTACTGCACCCGAGTATAGGGCCCAATGACCTTATCGCAGGTTCCGCAAGCGAGGTTTGCCGCCGTCACGTGTTATGGAACCTGCAAAACTTATGCCCTGAACCCCCGTAGAGTCGAGCAAAATGAAAGCGCTCCCCACCTTTTCCATTCTTATTAGACTAAGGCATCGCTAGACATTCCACAGTATGATACAGCCTCTGAATAACCAAAGTGTCTACCGTGTCCCAATCACCACCACCACCACCACCACC